GCGCATTGTCTCCTTTGTTGTTCTGTACATAATGCTTACTGACAATCTGCATGTCATTCAGCAACAAAATTATGTTCCTCGGAGCTGACTTACACACACTAAGAGGTACAGGATCTCTAGAATCCCATATTTTGTGATGATCGAAAGACAGGAATTACTTGATAATGGACGCAAGGCGTAGCCTCCATTTGAATGCTCAAGTCTAGCTGAGAATATCGAAAACTATATGAGTGATTAATATTTTTCCTCGTTTTTTACAAATTATGCAGAAAGGTCCCTAGGTCGTCGTATTCTAGAAAAATTACACTTTTGGCTTCTTGTTGTTCCATTCTCTGAAAATGCGTGATCTATATTCGTGTTGTCGTGGGTATACTACAGTATCAAATTTTGGGTATAGTAAATAAGGCAGTTTGGCATGCTGGTCGCAAGTTTTCAAAGCTTCTCTTTATACCTCAGCGAAACACTCTCCGAATACATGCCATATTTTTCTGTCGAAGCCAAGAGGTGTAAGACGAGAGTGTGCTGCGCCTGAACAAGTGGAAATTTGCTTAGTTCATGTAATTAGAGATACAGAAATTATTTATCGAAATTTCTACCAATGCTTTCTGGATCAAGCGTATGTCCTTCTGTTGTTTCCTCAAACATCATTTGTATTATGGATTCGACAAAATCGACAAGAATGTGAGCATGGTCACTGAAATGATATATCACTAATGAATAACAATCACCCAGCAAATTGATGGGATCAAACCGAATTGTAGCAATCGAGCATCCATTTCTTCGATGATATTTTCTATCTTCGATACAGGATAAAAATGCAGATTTGTAGAAGATTTCCATCACATGAGGTTCGCATTCGCGTAGTTTCGTTAAGACCTGAATATTGGTTTGAAAATTGGAAAATCATTTTTTAGAATACGCAGCCATTACGCTCATTTTTGAATATTTATAAACTTAAGGACACCATACGAGTACGTGTTCATTATCACCTTGTTAGGAAACAAAGGGGTTTTGGGTAGTCTCTTGACCAATTTTGGCTGCTGTTGTCAAAACTCCACTATCTCTTGGGTTTCCTTACAACTAGAATGTCCAAAAAGTTTTCCGCCGCTCAATTTGAGCCTTTAAAGTTCTTTGCGACTGTTTTAGAACTCTCTGTATAAACCGATTAGGTTGGAAATAGTGCGCTTTTACTAAACGTATCTTGGCATTCCTTCACTAAGCTTAGGAAAACGGTCTTTGTTCCTAGGCAAACTCAGCTTTTTTTGTTTTAGAAAATTTATAAAACATAAAGCAAACGACGCGGCAAGAAATATATGTGATGCGATAACTCTTCAACCTCTTCTTAAGATACCGCAAAAGTTTGGTTCTACATAAAAAAAATACCGATACTAACAAAGGTAGA